ATATATGTATATAAATCAATCAGGGGATCTTGTTTCTGGGTATCAGGCAAGATTAGGAATGGTTGAAACTGGGAGTACGGCGTTTTCAAGGCAGCTGCAAAGCCAAGCCAAGTAGGAGTTTGCAGTCTGGTACCTCCAGATATCGGGAATCCAAGTGTTTGGACTGTGATGGTCTTGATGGAGGACATGACCAGCCCTCCTGGTATCCAAAGAGCTGTTTCCAGATAGACTACAAACACCTGGAGGCTGGGGTGGGACTATTCTCAATGTTGACTGCTAGTTAAAGCTATTTGAGTGAAAAGGCTTTGGAGCAGTGGTGGGATTCAATTTTCTTTTACTCCCGGTTCTGTGGGGGCGTGGCTTGGTGGGCGTGGTAGGGGAAGGATGCTGCAAAATCCCCCTTCCGCCCCCACCCCACCCACCTGCTTTCCAGCTCCGTTCTCCTGGGCAGGGCAACCCAAGGAGACCCAGCTGACCAGCTGGGACTCAATGGGAGGCAGAGAAGAGATGAGGTTGGCAGGGCCAGTCAGAGGTGGGATTGGCCGGTTCTCCGAACGACTCAAAATTTCTGCTACCGGTTCTCCGGAACCAGTCCAAACTGGCTGAATCCCCACCTCTGCTTTGCAGGCACCCAACAGCTTCTCCTGAACGTCTTTCAGAACCTTCCTCTTGATGGTCTTCTGAGGCCAGTAGGTCTTCCTGAGTCACCCAGAAGGTGGTGGATTCCTTGCGTGTTCACGAGGGTGGCTTTGGGTCTCTCTTTTCTGGAATCCGATGCCACGAGCAGATCACGACACCGGACACCTGTCGGTGCTGCTCAGCACCTTGAATCACCAGACTGGATTGGCCGAGAGCTCCAGTTGCTTGACAACTTTTGTCTTCCCACCTGTGAAATGGGCATAGAAATATTTGCCTGTTTCGTAATGAAGAGCTGATTCACTGCTGGCCTTCCCAGTTTCTTACTCACAAATAGTATTTGATGACTTTTTCTTAAGAAAACCTGGGCTGACGCATTCCCCTTCTGGCCTTCCCTGCAGAGCCTTTTAAAAACACGAGTTTCGTTTTATTTGGACAGGAAGTACAGATTGTTACTGAATCAGAGAGTTGAGCAATTTGTAGTTTAAACGAAGCACCTGTCAAGAATGTTGCTTCTAGGGCGAAGAATAAGATTTACAATCAGCAAAGGTACAAATATTGCTGGCTGGTCTTGAACTTCCCACCTAAGCTCAGACTTGGTTAGCTGTGTTTGAAAAGAACCAGGCCAAGCAAAACTCTTTTCCAGCGGGCCTCAACCCTGTGAATTGCAAAGCTTTCGTCCATCTCCTCTTCCTTCCCTTCCCTTCCCAATTAGAAGAACTGGTTTTCCGCAGCCTTGATTCCAGGCAGCCAATTAAATCAGCTGTTATTCCCCCTTACTTAATAATGGCTTCCACGGTGAAGTAATTTTAGACTTTGGACTGAAGGTTTGGCGGAAGTTCCCCTGGCGAGACAGCGAGAGGCCTATTCGCTCACAGGCGTGTGTCGTTTCCAGCTGCAAATGGGCAACCACACTTTCCCCTTATTCTGGGATGGATGCTGGGGGGGGGGGCAAGAATGGAGAATAGGGCCGGGAGTCAGAGCTTCACAAACTGCGGGAGCATCTTCTTGGCTCCTGGAGAGACTGGCGTGTCTTCAAAACATTCACCCCCTTTGGCCTAGAAGAGCCATGGGGGGGAAAAGTCTCGGGGGGGAGGCAAAAAAAAGGACACCACCTGCCATCCTCGCCAGGCCTTCTGAGCCGGCTACAAAACACTCCTTTCCCAACTCCTCCTTCCCTCCAAAGAACTTTCGAAAGACGGTGGGGAGGTGCCAACGGCAAACCATGGGGCGTAAGGGCAGCCTCTGCTGTCTCTCTTGGTGGGGATTTTCACCCCTTCCTTGGCTACCGAAGCTATTTATTCCCCCCCCCCCCCCCCCCCGTCACTGCAACCAAACACAGTCCGTTTGGCTGAATTTCACCCTTGTTCAGTGTTTTCGCTCCTGGCGACCACCGATGGATTCCAGGAAAATGAGTCAGAGTTTGTAGCACATCACATTTTCAGTCTTGCAACGGCGGTATCCCGTCCTTTTTAAGTATACATCGTGTTGTACACCCTGGTTGTAATCTGTATTCTCTTAGTCATGCATTTATAGCCTCTTAACTGCATATTGTTGTACTTCATAGTTATAACCTTTATTTTCATACTTATACCATAACATTCTATATATTTATCTCACTCCTTTTCGGGTGTGACTCCAATCGAAGGGATCCCCAAAAATTTTTGCCTCTCCTTTTTAAGCATTAGCCTGCTCCGATCTGTTGGCCCAGCAGGTAGGAATTCAACCGATCAAGCTTCACTCCGGGCTAGGAAAAGGTATAAAATGTGCCATTTCTTGCCCTGATTAAGTCCCTTGAGCAGCCCACTGCTTTTTCCATGCGTTGTCTTGAGCGCGGCTGGGGATGATGGATCCCCGTCGCTCGGATCCACCTGGAAATCTCCACTTGGGGGCGATGGCCACGTTGGTTCGCCTTTCCAAGTTGAGCAAGCCTCAGTCTTATATCTACTGGTATAAACCTCCCTTCCTCCCCTCGAAACCGGGAGCTTCAACCCCCTTCTCAATCCGACAGCGGGGATGATGGGAACTGGAATCCGAAGCGTCAGGTTGGGAGAGGCTGATCCAAGCGCGCACCTCCAGCCTAGCCAAGCGCAGGACAGCTGGCACCGCTGATTCCGCCCCCCACCCCCGCCCCCCGAAGCGGTTGGGGCTGGAGGGGGGTTAAAGGGGCGGGGACAGGGGTGGCCCTTGGAAGGGGGCGGTGCCCTCGATGCCCCGCCCCGAGGCCGCAGGTAGAGCGAAGGAAGCGAAGCTGCGGATTCCGCAATCCAGGTCTGGCAGGAGCGAGAGAGCGCGGCGCGTAAAAACGCAGCCGCAGGAAAAGCCAAGACGCAACGGAGCCCGGAGCGACCCGGCTAAGGCAGGCCCTTCTCTCTCTGCCCCGCTCCCACTTCCCCTCTCGGCCCGGCCATGGGGAAGGTCCAGCTCTTCGAGATCCGCTTGAGCGACAGCCGGGTGGTCTACAGCCCCGGCGAGCCGCTGGTGGGAAGCGTCACCGTCCGCTTAGCCGGAGCTCTCCAATATCGCGGTAAGCCTGGATGGAGGAAGGCGGGGGGACCTGGCTCTCGTTGCACCTGGCCGAGGGGGCGTTCAGGGGGGTCGGCTCCTGATGGAGACCGGGGGGTTCCTTCCTCTCCTCCTCCCCCGGCCAAGGGTTCAGATGTTGCAGCTTCGGATTGGGACCCCAAGGAAGGCAGGGAGCGCCTCGAAGTCTTCCTACGGGGAGGGGGGGTCATCTTCCCCCACTGGGGAGGGGGATGGATGGGCGCCCCGAGACCTGCCTTCTTCTGGAACCCTGGAGCGGAGCTTCTCCTGGCCCCGAAGAAGGCCTTCCGTCTGCTAAAGCAGAAACTTCGAACCTGTTTCCTGTCTGAAGCAAGCCAGGGAGAAGCTCCTGTCAAAAAGGAAAAGAAAAACCTCATTTTAGCTAAAAGGGGTGTGTGTGTGTGTGTGTGTGTGTGTGTGTTTCTCCCAGGAAATCAAGGCGTAGGGAGGGTTCTTGGCTGGGGGGGGGGGCAACCCTGTAACGCAGGGGACCCACCCTGGCCGAGGGGGTCAGACTGGAGCCTTTGATAGGAGTCTGTGAACCGCAGTTGCTTCCTTTTGTTGGACTGAAGCTCGGTTGCCATCCCAAGGGACAGCTGGGGGGGGGGTATGGCAATGAGTGGCTTCCCCCACAACCTGTTGAGCACGGCGGGGGGCGGGGAGGGGAGAGAAACACCGGATTCCGTGGAGAGAGTTTTTTTCAGTGGCCCGGAGGGGGGCGTGGTCTCATGGCCTGCCTGCACCCCACCGATAGGGCCTTGCTGGGTTGTGTGGTTGGGATCTCTGGTTTCCAGACTGCCGTAAAGAGTCGCCTCTTCTGAGATAAGCCCTGGTCAAGCTACAGAGAGAGAGAGAGAGAGAGAGAGAGAGAGAGAGAGAGAGAGAGAGAGTCAGTCCTTGGCTTACAACCCCAAATGTCTCCTGCTAAGCGAAAAAGTGGGTTCACTGAGTTGTGCCTCATTGATGCCCACCTGTCCCACCCCCTCCCCCATTGTTAAGTGAATCACTGCACCCCAAGAAGTAAATTTTGGCTTCCCCAGAGCTTGTCCAAAGGTTCCCAAAGGGGATCGTGTGACCCCGGGATGCTGCGACTGTCGTAAATGTGAGCCAGTTGTCCAAGTACCTGAATGTTGGTCCTCTGATCGCGGGGAGGCTGCAATGGTCGTCCCTGTGAGAAACGGTTGTCAGCCCCTTTTTTTCAGCGCTGTTGTAACGTGGAACACACTGTTGTCAGTCGAGAACTGTCTGTGCATTACTGGCCCGCCAATTTCTGGAAGAGCCAAGGGCCGGGATGGCGAACCTGTGGCACGCAGAACCCTCTCTCTGGCCAGGCGCATCATCGCCAGCTGCTCTTCGGTTTCCGGCGCTGTGGGTGCGTTCTGGTTTGGCCACGATTTGCTAAAAAGGTGCGCCCTCCCTGGTCTAGGGCAAGAGACCGTTGGATGAGAAGAGAAGGTCCTCCCATGAGGCAATTGGGGTGGAAGCCCCAGACTTTCCTCGTCCTGTTTGGTATTTTTTTTCACAGGCAAGGCGGGGGGCGGGGGAGGGGGGCTTGAGTAGAAGGAGGACTGGGAAGAGAACTGGTTGACTCAACTGTTGTTAGAACCGTTGGAACCCCTGCAAAAACTCACCCCTGTCTGTCTCTTTTGGAGGAAAGAGGAGCTGGGACGTGCCGTTCCCTGTTCCTGCAGGTTCCCCACCGAGGAAGGGAGTTTGTGTTTGGGGTGAGTGTGATGGTTTTCTCGGCCCGTGTGAGGCATCGGGACCTGTGGATTGCCGGTTGTGGAGTCCCGATGAGCTCTTACGGTTTGCTGTGTCTTCTCAGGGTGGTGTGGAGTCAGCCACGAAGGAGAGAGCACAGTTTCTTCTCAGAGCTCTCTGACACTTTTGAAGTTCTCCGCTGGGTCCTTCAGTCCTAGAGATCAGATCTATGGATCCGCTTGAGCGAAGGGCACCCAGAGTGTGTTGGAAGACAACGGCTCTCGGAACGGAGTGCCATTTTCCAACAAGGGAGAATATTTGTAGCTCAGGGTTGACCCGAGGGGTCCTTGGTGCTCTCTGAGCTTGGTTGGTTCCTTGCCGACGTTTCCTTGCCCAACTAAGTAGCGCCGTCGGTGCTAGGAGTTCAGAGAGCACCCGGGACCCTTCACAAGTGCATTTGACACAACCTTCTGGCTGACCTGGCATCTGCTTGGCAGATTCTTTTCCTGGGCACCACTGAACACAAAGGGGTGTTTTGGAAAGAATGGGTGTGTGAACTGGCCAAGCAGACACTACTTCAAGACCTCTGCCAAGAATTCTTCAGGCGCCTTTGAATAAGAAGCGATTGGCAGCCAGTTAGCTGGTGCTGGACCTTTTTTCCCCCTTTCTCCTCACCATGAATCTGATTTTGATCTCTGGCCTCTCAGCTTCATTCACCCTAATGTTTCTGAAGTGAGAATTTGCATGGCAGGTAGAACATTTGGATGAACTTGGAAAGCTGGTTTAGGCCTTACCTGGATTTGGATGAGACACTAGAAGACCCTGGGGCTGCAACCTAGACAGAGAGCTGTAAACAAAAGAGACAATGGCAACTATTTCTGGGGGGGGAAAAAACTCACCAAGAAAACTTCAGGGCTTGGACCAAGCCTTCTCCAAAAACTGGACACAAATGAATCCTTTGAAAAAGTTTCTTCAAAGGACCATGAAACCTGATACGAAAAAAAACAACAACTGGTAAGATATTAGCCGGTTCCTAATGAGTCAGGCCTCTCTTGCTGTCTGTCTCTGTCCAAGAATGGGCTCGTGACTGAGGTCCTTCCAATCATGACGGGCCTTCAAGGCATCTGGCTGAGCAAAGCTCCCGTCGGCATTTTCATCCCCTTCTTACTCACCTGTTTGGGGTTTTTTTTTGCTAGTGGAAGAGATGCCAAATGGATGATAGCTATCAAAGGACTTGAGGGTGACAGGATAGCAGCCTCCCAGTATCTCAGGGGCTGCCCCCAAGAAGGGAAGGGGGTCACGCTGTTTTCCAAAGCCCCTGAAGGCAGGACAAGAAACACGGGATGGAAACTCGAGGAGAGAAGCAACCTGGAGCTAGGGAGAAACTTCCTGATATTGAGAATAATGAACCAGTGGAACCCCTTGCCTCCAGAAGTTGTGAATGCTCCAACACTGGGAGTTTCTAAGAAGAGATTGGGCAGCCATCGGTCTGCAGTGGGACCGGCCAGGTTTCCTGCCGAGGCCTCCAAGGTCCCTTCCCACTCGGTTCTTTCGTTAGGCACCTTCAGCTCAAACAGAAGGTCTTTTCAACCTGACAGCAAATTCTCTGCTCTAGAAGGAAAAAGTGTGCCGGCCTGCGCATTTTGACGACGCAGTTAGGGTGGATTTGACGGACCATCTTGCGGTGGTTTGCATTCTGGCGTGGCCTGATAAAAACCTGGCATACTGTAGAAAACACAAATATCAGCCTGATTTATTCCTGGCTGTTTAGATGATTCAAACGTTGAAATTTCTTAGTGATCTTTTATTTCTACCACGTTCTCTGCTGGTTTGCTGTTTCAGGGTGACTTTTTTTAATTGTTGTTCGTTTTGTTTTGCTGCGAGTCGCTGGTCGAACTTTCTTTCCAGAGCAGAATTTAGCAAACGGGGTTTTGGGAAAAGGATGAATTCAGCCACTTCAGACCATACAGGGGGTTCGGCAGCTTATGACTAACATTGGGAGAAGAATTTACGTTGCTCGTCAAGGCGTTAAGTGAGTCTCATCCGATTTCCCCCCCCCATTGCTATAGCTGTTAAGCCCCAGTTGTTAAGTGAATCCTTCGTTCATTAAAGAAATCTGACGTTCCCCATTGACTTTGCTTGTTGGGAGCCGGCTTGGAAGATCCCAAATGGCCATCACAGAACCCTGAGAGGCTGCCACCATTGTAAACACAGGTAGTCCTCGACTTACAGCGGCTCAGTTAGTGATGGTTCAACGGAAAAAGTGACTTATGACCATTTTTTCACTCTTACAAACATTGAAGCATCCCTACGGTCATGTGACCAGGATCAATTCTCCATCTCCCTCCATTACGGTACAGCGCCTAAGCAGGGGTTGGACTAGAGGACCTACAAGGTCCCTGTTATTCTACAACAAGAAGTACAGGTACGGTCCTTGACTTGTAACCACAATTAAAGACCCAACTTTTCTGTGGTTTAAGCATTTGTTCAGTGAGTTCCGCCCCATTTTACAACTTTTTCTCACCACGGTTGTTAAGTAAATCACGGCAGCCGTTCTGTTAGTGACGAGGTGAAGCCCCGCAGAGCCAGCCTTTTCCGTGCTGCTTCGTCAATCCCTCGGCCACCGGAAGGCGGGCAAAGTGCGGCCCGTTGATCCCACTTTTTCGGTGCAGAGCAGGAAATTTCCTGAAAAGCACTCAGAGAAGAAAAGCGGGACCCCCCCCCACCCCCCATCCCCGGGGAAGCAGCAGCCGCGAATAATTCCCCCCCTACCACACACACACCCCTCCACTTGCACGCTCTCCCGCTCCCTCCCCAAGCACAGCCAAAGGCTAAAAGCACACCCACCCTGGCAAACCTCCAAGAAGCCACAGAAACCGGCCACGCCTCGGCCGAGTGTGCAACTAGATCGGTTTTTCCTTTTTCTTTTTTTTGCAAAAGGGTGGATCTGATTCCCGAAGCCGTTCTGAGAGGCTTGTGAAGGTGGCTTTCTGCCCAGGTTTGGGCTTAATGCCGTGTTTTTGTTTTGTTTGCGGGGGTGCACACTGCTCTGTCCTGTTTTATTGTGTTTGTTTTTAAATCTTGTTTTGTCTACCTTTTTAACTCTTCCAAGCGCGTATGAGGCGCGGCATGCTGCCTAGAATCCGTCGGAGTGGGCAGCCACACCACACAGAATGAAAAAAAATATATTATTATTATTATTATTATTGGGGTTGCAAGGATGGCAATTAGCCCGAACAGGCCCTGGGCCGCCTCCCTGCCTCCCCCTCCTTCCAACCTGACTTACTAGACAGGGGAGGTTAGCGCCCTTGAATGGCTGCCTGCTCGTCTTTCGCTCACAAGGCGAGCTCGTTTGCCCTGATTAAAATGCGAACTTGGTTTTCGAGGGCTGTGCACCCAGGCTATTAATACGATGCTTTGTTATTTGGGTTTGAAAAAGATGCCTGAGCTTCTAGGAACAGAAGCTGCCCCCCCCCTCTCTCTCTGTTTCTCTCCCTCTCTCTCTTTCACTCTCTCCCTCTCTTCCCCCCCCGTCTTTCCCTCCCTCTCTGTCTCTGTCTCTCCCTCACTTCTCAGTCATCCCAAAGGTGCTTTTTGAAAAAGGCAACTGGATGTTGTTTTTTCTTGAAGAGGTTTCACTTCTCACCTAAGAAGCTTCCTCAGTTCTGTCTGAAGACTGAGTCAGAACTGAAGAAGCTTCTTGGATGAGAAGGGAAATATCTTCAAGGAAAAATAAAGTCCAGCTGCCTTTTCAAAAAGCTCCTTTGGGACAGTCTTCATCTGGAATGGGCCAACTCGCTGCAGGACAATTCAACCCATCAATGTAATTATTTAAAATACTTTAAAAATTCATTTAACAGTTGTCATTCACATTTCATTCTCTCTCTCCTTTTGCCTCCTTTCTTTGGTGGCTCTATTCCTCAATTTCTCCCATATTAGGGCAACTCTTGTCCCTTGGCAAGTTGGCCGTGGCAAGTTGTGGTTCTAACTCGAGGAGTCCCTGTGCTGTGTTTCTTCAACCCCTTGCGTTGCATTCTGCTTCCTCGCCCTCTGTGAAAAGCTCCCACCACCCAGCGCGCAGGGCGTCCCGCCTAAGGAGAGTTCAATTGTCGTGCTGTCAAAACGGGCTTTGCTCCTGGAGCGTGGCGTGAACTTCCTTGATTGGGGCTGGTTCAGTAAACCCTGGTTAGCTCCAGCGGGCTGCAACGTGCAAACCGCATTGTGTGAGGCTCATCTTCAATCCCCAGAACTAGATTTATTTCATTTATTTTTGCTGACAGAACCATCTGTGATTTGATGGCCCTGGGAATTGAAATACAATTCCTCTTAGTTGCTGCCTTGACGGATCGTAGAAGCATAAATCTCAGGCTCCAACCTTCGATGGGAGAAAAGGTTTAAAAATGAGGTTTCCGGATATAATTTACTCTGCTCTTTGCTTAAAAAGCAGCTTCTCTGGGATCGGCAGTGCCATTCTCCGTCTGTCAACAGCGGCCGGGGTCAACATTGTGGATTGCAGGGCTAAGGCCCCACCCGGAATACTGCATCCAGTTTTGGTCACCAAGGGTGCAGAGAAGAGCAACAAAGTTGATTTGGGACTGGAGGATAAAACATATAAATAATGATTGCTGGAATTGGGTATGTCTGGTTTAATGATAAGAAGGACTAGAGGTGACATGGTAGCAGTCTTCCAGGGGCTGCCCCAAAGAAGAGGGAGTCAAACTATTCTCCAAAGCCCCTGAATGGAGGCAAGAAGCAACGGATGGAAACTGATCAAGGGGAGAAGCAACCCAGAACGAAGGAGACATTTCCTGACTCTGAGAATAATTGATCAGTGGAACCACTTTCCTCCAGAGGTTGTGGCTGCTCCAACATTGGATGTTTTTAAGAAGATTTTGGATAATCATTTGTCTGAAATGGTAGAGGGTTTCCTGCCTCAGCGCAGGGGGTTGGACTAGAAGACCTCCAAGGTCCCTTCCAACTCTCCTCTCCTCTCCTCTCCTCTCTTCTCTTCTGTTCTATTGAGTCTATAAAGCTGAAAACCAGAAGGAGGAAATAGAATGAAACTGGATTGCAACAGAAAGAACAGAGAAAGAGAAAGCAAGCGGCCAAACTGCAGTCAGTAAAACTCAGGAGATCCACAAGGAACATTACATTTTTTTTTTTAATGGCTGAGGAGCTTCCCATAGGGTGACGGGGGTTGTAGCTCAGGTGTGTAGCCCATGGTCATCTTTTTCCCTCCAAGGAGGAGACCCTCATTTAGCCCTTGAATGATGTGCTGAGATAGATATTCCAGAAGAGACTGGCTGGAGCCTGGACGAAGACTTAAATCTGATTTAATTTCCTTTCTATTGCAAGGCCATTAAAAACTAAGTAGAAGAAATCGCAGTTCCGCTCATGCATTAAATGTGGATGTTCCCCTTCGATCAGAGGAAAGATGGACAGTTTTAAGATCCCCCAATCTTTCGTCCAGGGGCACGCTCCGTACGTGGCTTGATTTTGGCTAACGCAGAGTAGAGGGTTCCCCCCCCCCCCCGTTAACTGTATTTTTTTTAAAAATTGGAGAAGCAGCCTGTAAGGGAAGTGTTAGCAGTTTCTTAATTTCCTGCCTAGTCAAAAGGACAGGAAACAAGAAGAGTTTGGCCTAATGATTAAGGCACCAGGCTAGAAAGCAAGAATCTGTGAGTTCTAGTCCTGCCTTAGCCACGAAAGCCGGCAGGGTGATTTGGGGCCAATCCTTCACTCTCGGCTCAACTTACCTCACAAGGTGGTGGTTGTGGAGAAAATTGGAAGGAAGTATGTTGGATAGGTTCCCCACCTTCAGTTATTTATAAAAATAATAAAGGTGGAAAACAAACGCATAATTTGAAAAAAATAAAAATGAAAAAGCCTAAAACATAAGCAGAGGATTCTGCTCCTGGGAAGAGACAATGCCATCTTGAACCAGAAATCTGCGTTTAGAATGACGAGCCATTGAGGAATCCTGGCTTAAGTGACATGCGATTTGCTCTGTATCTGACGCCTTATAACCAAAGTAACAAAATAACAGAGTTGGAAGGGACCTTGGAGGTCTTCTAGTCTGACCCCCTGCTTAGGAAGGAAACCCTACACCACTTCAGACAAATGGTTGTCCAAGCTCTTCCTTAAAACTCCCAGGGTTGGAGCATGTACAACTTCTGGAGTCAAGGGGTTCCCCTGATTAGATGTTCTGGCTGTCAGGTTGCTCCTCTCCTTGATGGGTTTCCAGCGAGGTGCCTCTTGTCCTGCCCTGGGGGGCTTTGGGGAATGGGGGTCTGTGGAGATTCTCAGCCATCCAGGTCCTGGTTATCCCCAAGGGGCTTTTTTCAAGAGGCAACTGGACTCTCTGGTTTTTCTTAGAAGACATTTCGCTTCTCATCCAAGAAGCTTCTCCAGCTCTTCTTTTCTCTTCTCTCTTCTGAAGAAGATGAGAAGCGAAACATCTTCAAAGAAAGTCCAGTTGACTCTTTAAAAAAAAAGAAGGCACCTTTGAGACTTTGGAGAATAGCTGGACTGCCTCTTGCTCAGGCACAGCACGTTTCGGGCTTCTGCGTGGCCTGGAGATTGGTTTGTTTCTTCTGCCGATTAATGAGTCGGCCCCAACCATTCATCCTTCCTCTTTCTGCTCTAGCCATCAAAGTGAGCTGCGTGGGCTCCTGTGGCGTCTCCAACAAGATAAACGACACTGCGTGGACCGTGGAAGAGCAGTATTTCAACACGACGCTGTCCCTGGCCGATAAAGGTAAGAAAGAAGCAATTCTTTGGGAGAGGAAGCTAAAGAAGAAATACGGGTTAGGTGGCTGTCTTGTTTTTCAGGCTCTGCTTGAACCAGAAGTTGCTTAACTTCTCAGTTTTCTTCCTTTGGTTGGCCTGGCTGGCAGAAAGAGAATTATTGGATGGCGAGCTGAGAGTTTTGAGGTGATGGGGCCAAATCACCAGGAGATGGTGAGTTCTAGTGCTGGTTTAGGCATGCAAGCTGGCTAATCACCAGGAAACGGTGAGCTCTAGTTCCAGTTTAGGCATGAGTGGGTAACCTTGGGCTAATCGTGAAAAGACAGTGAGCTCTAGTTCCATCTTAGATATGAAAGTCAGCTGGGTGACTTTGAGCCAATCACCAGGCGACGGTGAGTTCTAGTCCTGCCTTAGCTACAATAGCCAGCTGGATGACTTTGGGCCAGTCGCTCTCCCTCAGGCCAGCCCTCCTGACAGGATTGTTGTTTCCTTGACAGGGTTGCACAATTTGTCGACTCAGCCGCCCTTGGGCTCCCCCAACCCTTGTAAGCCGTTGACAATGAGAGAGTTTCATACACTCTACCATTAACCAAAGAAGGCGGGTTAAGATTTAGCAGGAGCTGTGCGGGAGAGAAGAGGAGGAGGAGGAGGAGGGAGAGAAAGGAGGCTGTCCTTCAGGGAGATTATCTGAAAGAACCAGCACAGGGAAACTTTCCAATCCTCTACCCAGCCAAGCCTCCAGCTGCAGCTTCCTCACTGGAAGAAAAGCAGCCAAATTCTCTGCATAAAGTTCAAGGTGCCGAGAAACAAACCGGCTATTGTGGGATTCTGAGCAGGAGGCTGGGAGGGAAATCCCACCCTGGACACAGTGACCTCGGCTTCTTCGGGATTTGCCACTCCTCTGCCTCCTAATCTCCAGAGCCCGTTTCTGCCTCCCTCCCCGCCCCAACAAAGCAGGGCGCATCAGGGGCTGGTTTGCAAAATTTAACTTACAGAAAAGGGAGAGGAATTTTAAGATTGCTTGGGAGGGGGAGGAAAAACAGGAAGGAGAGGATGAGGAGAAAGGAGAAGGAAGAGAAAGAAGGAGAGGAAGAGGAGGAGGAAGGAGAGGAAAGAGAAGAGGAGAAAGGAGAAGGAAGAGGAGGGGGAAGGAGAGGGGCAGGTTGCACTATACATTCTGTAAGGGTAATAAATGAAGACCACCTTCCCGCAGTCGAAGGAATTTGTCACACTGTCCTCGTGAAGCATGTGGCGGGAGGAGGTGGCTCCCCCAACCAACCAACCAAGAGATCCAACTGGTTGAGGTATGAATGATTTCAGGCTACAAAGACCAGCTTGAAGAAGAGGCGTCTATAACGTTAC